TTTTAAGCAATGCAGTGCTGGTGTAAAGATCTGGAGAGGTCTGACCTGCTGATATGGGTCTACTATACAAATATAATATATTATTTATATATTTTATATATATATATGTATAACTTAAGATGTTACAGATATATAATATCTGTACAGGCCTTTGCAAATATAATCCTACAAATTCATACCTAAGGAAATACGTTCTTCTGTACAAAATCCTAACTTGTGCTGGTATTAATTCAACAGTTCTCATGAAGATGGCACTTTTTTAAAGTGTCTTGGGCAATTTCAGCAAATTTTGAGTGGAAAAAGGCAGAAATTGCCTTTTAGCAGTGTTTTACTGATTGGCCAGTTACCTTTCTACAGACCTGATCCTGAAACCTTTGCACAGGCAAATATCTAACAGATCAAGAGTTCTATACTTGGATCAGGACTCATGACTGCAATTAAGGACAGTTCATCTAAATCACCACTGGCATCTGAGACTTTTTTCCAGTGCTCAGGACAGGATAAGTGTGGTGGCTGTGGAGAAGCAAATCCCAAGATTCAAAGCTTATGTAATGGTGTGGACATGGAAAGAACTTCAGGGGTTCTGGACTAGACTAGACTAGACTAGACTAGGGATTGGGACAAGCCAGAACGACACCCCCATTGAGGGGCAAGAGCTTTTACCATCCAAAGTTTGTTTTGTGATTGAATACAACCAGCCTGGTGGGTATATTATGGATAATTCTCGCTATTCCTTGCTCTTCAGCTCAGGTATTCCACTGAAGACTGTTCCTTTGAGGAGGAGATTCGCCCGGATGGCTACAACGTGTATAAATCCAAAAAACACGGAATATCAGTGTCTTTGAGCAGTGCTAAACAAAGACAGCAGTTCAAGGGGAAAGATTTCCTTCCCCTGTCTCATTTCTTGCCCATGATCAACACCGTGCCTGTGGAATCAGCAGACTTTGGTGAATATGGTGATTACAGCCAGGCCTTTGAGCCAGAAGTGTTCTCGTCGCCCCTGGAGACGGACAGCATGGATCCCTTTGGCATCACCTCTAAACTGTCCCCGGTGAAGAGCCCCAGCTTCCAGAAGTGACTGTGCTCCCACACGTGTTTTTACAGAAATATTGCAGAGTACTGCAGGGTTTTTAGCTTTTTGTACAGTGATACTGGGGAACTTTTTTGTGTATTTGAGTATGGAGCCAGCCTCATTCTTGTACCTGTAAGAGATGAGTGCTAAGAGGCTGTCCTAAAATTTAAAGAATTGCCTATCCATAGTTTTGTTTGGAAAAGGAGGGTTAAATTCGAAAAGTTTAGCAGCTTCATCAGAACTCCTCCATAGGTGGTAATAAAATAACTAATTTTTCTACACCAGCTTCACTTCCACCTATATTCCCCACCTGTTATATCTGCTCATATGAGGAAATGCAGAAAACCTTTTCCTCTTCAGACACCTCAAATTCAAACATTTGGACCAAAACTAGATGAAGGAAAACATCCTACCAGATATAACTTCAGTTAATGCTCTTCTTGAAAGGCTGCTAACAACATTCTGGGAAAAACTTTCTACTGAAAGCATACTACTGAAGAAACAAATCTGGTTGTATATTGTGCTTTTTCTTCCCTTAAAAAATAAGGGAATAAAGGGAAAAAAGTCTCCCTTCCCTTAGTGCTAAAAAGTACTTTAGGAAACTTGATCATTGATTTCTTTTGTGGGCTAAATTATGTTCTCTGTGGCATCAGAATCATCCAGCATAGAGTTCTCATCAAAACCAGTGAGAATTCAGTGTGTGGTTGGAAGAGTGCCCAGGGCTAGAATTTATGTTCATCAGGTAGGGAATGAGCAGCTCAAACAAATGTTTAAATGAAGATTCTGTTGTATATAAGCATGTATATGTCATTAGCAGAGAAAAACACTGAGAACGGATGTATAGGTCAAATCAGTTGTAAAATAGGTTTTTGTGTTTAACCTTCAACCACCAGGAATTCTTTCAAGCCACTTCCAGGCTTGATTTAGCATCCATGGGAATCAGTGAAGAGCTGGTTCAGTGAGTGAAAAGCTGCAGAACTGGGTCAGGATTCTCCTTGTAGGAAGGGATCGTGAGTACCTCTGGCCAAGGCACCTGATGTCTTCAAGTTCTGTTCTCCGTTTGAAAAGATTCAATGAGGGAATAACCAAGGTGAAGCCAAAGAGAAAAAAAAAAAGAAAAAGAAAAAGAAAAAGAAAAAGAAAAAGAAAAGGATGGTTCAGGGATTCTACTTTTTTCCAAAGGTTCATTTGTAATAGATATTTCTGGACAGAAAAAAAAAAAAAAGCTCTACTGGAAATACCGGTGTTCTTCTGACCTAGCACTTCATTGCCAATGCAATATTTATAATTAATTTATTGAATACGTACATCTGTTTATTTTGTTACTGTTATTTATGCTCAAGATTCTATTTATATACTTCTGAAGGTGGTTTTTTTTAGTTGTAACAAATCTTGTGAAGTTTTGTAATCAATGGAATTTTAGCCAACAGTAGCCAATTTTTAGCCAATTTTTAAATAGCCTGAACTTTAGCCAATTTTTAAATTTCTGTGCATTATCAGTAGTGTAATGTGTACATTTGCAATAAAAGAAAATCATCTTCAACTCTGAAATCTGCTTGACTCTTTTGTCTCTCCCTAAGTGCCATATCTACACATCTTTTAAATACCTCCAGAGATGGTGACTCAATAACTTCCCTGGGCAGCTTCTTGACAAAAAAATCCTGTGGGTAGAAGGCTACTCCCATTTTAAAATGGGAACCGTTCTAACCAGTGCTGCCAGGAAGAAAATGATGAGTTTTGCCTGAAAAAGATGTCAGTTTCTGGCAGGAAAAGAGCCCGAATGTTTCCATTTTGAAATGCTGTGAGTCACAGCAGAATTCTTGGCTGGCAAACATCTCCCATGGTGTTTTCCCATTCTCTTTTGTGCTGAGCCACTGCCACACATCCGGAGGATTTCCACTGCTCGTGTGCTGGGAGAGGTATTTCTCATTTTCAGGTTGACTTATTCCAAAACTTTTCGATTTCAGGGGGTTTCATTTCCAGTTTTGATCAATCACTATATTTTCTCTGAAAGCTTTTCAAGACCTTTCTTTAAAGAAATACCAAAATACAAATGAACTTTTAAAGTTCGGTCAAAAAAAAAAAAAGTCACTTTTCTGCTAAAAAATTGCACAGATTTGACAGGAAACATGGCAAATAATGGAGTTTGGAGGCTACACAGTTTAACTGCACCAGTGCGAGATTTTTTGAGTGGGTGTAACATTGTGAGTGTTTCTCTAGGATGCAAAGACAAGCAACCTCACATTTTAGGAACAGCATCTTGAGCTCTCTCATGACTCTATTTGCTGACACCTTTGGATTACCATCTTCCACTGGCAGCACGATGATTTTTCCTGCAACAGCATGGTTAGAGGTTGGTTCAATATTTATTCAGAGGGAAGAATGCCAGGAGCTAAATTAACCCACACCGCTTCCTGGAGTGCTTCAGTTTTCGCTGGAGTTTTCCCGTCCCAGCTCTGACCAAACCTGGCTGTTCTGCTTATAAAATCTGACAAGATCTCGGCTTGAGGTGGGAGGATTGCTGGGAAATGCTTCCCCATGCCCTGCGACACCTGACTCGGTCAGGAACCGGGTGTGCAAAGCCTCCAAAAACCACCTCGGGTTCTGTGGGAATGTAAACACCTCCACCAGCCCTCAGCACACACGGCCCCTCCGTCCATCAGAGCTCCTCAAAGACAGCAGGACAATGGCGGTGCTTTCATTTGCAGCAGCACATTTTACTGCCCTAAAAGGTTTTTAAAGCTCAGGTGTCAAATGTCTCCTTGTGAAGTCTCAGCTGGAAGCTGTGATGTGCAAATACGAGTTGTTAGAGGAGTGGGGAGGCTGCAGGAAAGGAGAGACTGAGCGTCTTCATTTCCACTTGGAGGAAGTGTAAAGACCTATAAATCAATTCAAAAGTCATAGTGTCCACTTTACCTCTGCTCAAATCACTGAAACCCTGTTGGTGGAAAATTTGAAGGCCACTCTTTCTACTCTCCCAGTGTACTTTGCATATGAATGGGGAACAACATGATAAATTAAATAAAATTTCCCTTTTTTTCCTCAAAAATATACATATTCCAACACCAGGCTGGCAGAATTGTGTGACCCAGAGCCACGTTTTCATCAAGTATCTGGAAAGTAATACTATAAGTTAACTTTAAAACACATACTTATAAATGAGTATAAGTGTTTCTTTTGACCAGCGTTGATCTGTAACAGCCCGTAAGTATTTTAACAGAGTAGCCTAGAATGGCACAGTACAGATTAAGTGGGTATTTACACCAAAAATATTTATGTTTTAGAACCATGGACTGGTTTGGGTTGGAAGGGACCTTAAAGATTATTTCATTCCAGGGGCAGGGACACCTCCCCAGCTTGCTCAGAGCCCCATCCAGCCTGGCCTTGGACACTTCCAGGGATGGGGCATCCACAGCTTCCCTGGGCAACCTGAGCCAGGGCCTCACCACCTTCACAGGGAAAAACTGTGCGCATATGCACCAAAAACACATCTCCTGAAAGCCACAAATACCAGCATTATGTGAGAGGGATGTGCAAACTCCACCACTCCATGGGCAGCGACAGGACCCGAGAGAACGGCCTGAAGCTGTGTCGGATATGGGGAAAAGGTTCCACACCCTCAGGGTGCTCGGGCACTGGACCAGGCTCCAAGGCTGGCAGAGCTCAGGGAGCGTATGGACAGCGCTTTAGGGCACAGGTTTTTAGGACATGGGGTGGGATTTTTAGGACACGGGGTGGGATTTTTAGGACACCGGGTGGGATTTTTAGGACACCGACGTTTCCCCACGGACTCCCCGGGCGGGCTCTGTGGCGGCGCTCGGGCGCCCCCTAGTGGCCGCACGCCGCCGCCGCGTGTGGGCGTGGCTCACCGCGAGGGGCGTGGTTCGTGCTCCCAGGCCACGCCCCCTCCCGCGCGCCGTCCGCTCCCGGCGTGCCCCGCGCCGCCATGGCCGACCTGTTCGATGAGATCGTGATGGCCGAGCAGAGGTGAGCGGATAGGGAGAGCTGGGGCGGCCCGAGAGGGGCTCCTCGGCACCGCGGGTCTCCCCTGTGCCTGTGCTTCCCTGTGCGAGCTGCCAGGGGAGCGTCAGGGAAAGAAGGGCGAGCGCTGAGCCCGAGGAGGAGGGCGGGGAAAATTCGCCTCTGTGCGCGTTCTGAGAGACCGAGCAGCGCGGAACGGCCTGAGGCTGAGTCTCGGGAAGGTTAGGTTGGATATCGGGGAACGGTTCTTCCTCCAAAGGGTGGTGGGCGCTGGAACAGGCTGCTAAGGGGATTTTTCTCAGCACAGAGTGGGACTGAGCCCTGCAGACTGGATCGATGGGCCGAGACCAGCCGAGTGAGGGTCAGCAAGGCCAAGTGCTGGCTCCAGCCCTTGGGTCACCGCAACCCTGCAGCGCTCCAGGATAGCGGGAGAGTTCCTGGAAGGCATCTCAGAGAAAAAGGGCCTGGTGGTGCTGGCCGAGAGCTGGTGAACACAAGCCCAGGTGTGCCCAGGTGGCCAAGAAGGATAATGGCCTGTGTCAGCAATAGTGTGGCCAGCAGGAGCAGGGCAGTGACCGTCCCCCTGTTCTGGGCGCCGCTGAGGCCCCACCTCGAATCGTGGGATCAGTTTTAGGTCTTGCACTACAAGAAAGACTTTGAGGGGGTGGAGTGTGTCCAGAGAAGGGAATTGAGCTGGGGCAGGCTCTGGAGCACAAGTCTGATGAGAAGTGGCTGAGGAAGACTGCGGAGAGAAAATTTCTCAGCCTGGAGGAAAGGAGGCTCAGGGAGGACCTTCTCTCTCTCTACAACTCTCTGACAGGAGCCCCCCCATGTGGGGGTCAGACTTTTCTCCCTGGTGACGAGTGACAGGACAAAAGGAAGTGGCCTCGAGCTGCACCAGAGGAGGTTTAAGTTGGATATAAGGAAGAATTCCTTCATGGAAAAGGTTGCCAGGCCTTGGAAAGGGCTATCCAGGGAGCTGCTGGAGTCACCGTTTCTGGAGGTGTCGAAGGAACAGCTGGATGTAGCACTCAGGGCTCTGGTCTGGTTGACACAGTGGTGATCATTGAAAGGCTGGACTCGATGATCTCAGAGGTCTTTCCCAACCAAAATGAGCCTGTGATTCTGGAATTTAAATGGGTTTTATGTGGTATTTCTAAGCTTTGGAGGCGATGCACGTTTCTGTTGCCTGGAGTTGCTTGTATGTAGTGTGAGCTCGACAGGACATTAACAAAGCTGTGATTCTGCATTCCCAGGTTCCATGGGGAGGGGTACCAGGAAGGGCTTGCAGAGGGCAGCCACGCTGGGATGGCAGAGGGCAGGAGGTGTGGAGCACTCCACGGAGCCAGGATCGGCTCAGAGGTAAACGGGGAAGCGTTTCAGCTTTGGAATCCTCTTGTCACTAGGAAGTGACAGCCACACAGAAACTTTCAGGCAAAGCCTGATGCACAGGCATGCTGAGGCCTGCTGTGTTTCACTGCTCTGTCTCTGTCCAGGAGGACCCATTAAAGTGTTTTAAAGGTTCTGTTTTGAGCTGGAGAGTTGAGTAGATGTGCTTGTGTTGTTGTATGGAGCTTTGATAATATTTTTCCCAAATTTATGGCTAAAGGTTCTCCCCCCAACCCCAGTCTCCTGTGGCACAGCATAGGGAAAAGCATGGAATCTTGAGACATAAAGAGGCAGTTCTGTGTGTCTCATGCACTCTTTGTTAATTCTGATGCTGTGAGGGTTTGTGGCACTGTTCCCCTTCCTCACGTGGAGCCAGCTCTGTGTGCTGGCACACCTGGATTGATAACCATTCCTAGGAATTCAGGGGCTGGAGACTGGTAGGGAGGCACCTCAGCTCATCCCATATGTCTGGCTCCAGTTTGTCACAGCTCCAGGGTGAGAATGGCAAACAAAGCCAGCAGCTTCCAGAGCTGGATGGTTTTGTACAAAATGGTCCTGGACAGACCATAAGAGAGAAGTGCTCTAATCTGCTCATACAGGGAAAGCTGCAGAGGGAAGCAGGATTAGAGACATCAAGTGAGAGGATGGCTTGGGTAACCTTACACTTGTCAGCTTTTCCAGCTTGGAAACATTTTTGTGTATCCAGGGTTTAGTATCCTGAAGAGTGAGATACAGTGTAGTGCTTTATTTTTGTTCGACTGTCTATACTGTGTGTTCTTTGGGTTTTTTTCTTTCCCTCATGACACTCTTTTAAATTCACTTTTAGATTGGTTGCTACCTTGGGTTTGCACTGACGTGGCACTGTCTGCTCCAGAAGTGCACAGATGAAAAGAACAGGTGAGGTTCAAAAGGCTAAAAGTCATTTTGCTGTGACTTCCATGTTTCTCATCTTGTTTTTCTGTCCCGTTTTGATTAATCTGTCTGTCAGAATTGCCTTTTTGGTTGCATTTCTTTATTTTGCCCAATCATCTAATCAGTATTTTTGTTGATTCCTGATTATTTCTCAACTTTGGACTGGTAAATTGAAACGGAAACCTTAAATCTGTCAGTTGTGCTTAATTCCCAACTTGGAATAATTCCTAGTTTAGATAATTTCTTAAATGTGTATGGAACATACCTGACAATGGGCTAAATGGGAGAAGTTGAGTTAAAGAAGGATGGAGAGCTGGGTTTTGTCTCTGGATTATTATATATCAGGATAATTTTCATACTGTTGAATTGAAAATAATTCCTGTATGAGGCTCATTGGGGTTTTTTTTTAATTTTTTTTTTTTTTCCTAGCAAAAAGATGAAGGCTCTGGATTCATTAATAGGGATGATTCAGAAATTCCCGTATGAAGACCCCACTTATGATAAGCTGCAAGAAGATTTGGAAAGAATCAGAGGAAAATTTAAACAGGTTTGTAGGATTAAGTTGTTATTTTAGCACATAAATGCATTTTTTAAGATATTTAGTTTCTAATGCCACTCCAAAACACAGTATTTGTGTGGAGCAGTTATTGTTCCCCTTCTGCAATCATAGCAAAATACTTGAAGTGAAATAAATTAAGTGAAAATCCATGATAGTTGAAAATTTCCCATCCAATAACAAATGCAAAACAAAAGAAAAAAATATTCTTTAAAAATCAAGTTGGAAATAATCTTTGACAATTTGTATTACAAGTGGGACCAGAAGAAGAGAAATAGAGCAATTGGAAGTTTTGTTGAACATTCTTCTTGGAAAAACAGACCCTTTGAAGCACTTCTGTGTATTCTTTTTTTAGGTTTGTTCAATGCTAAATATTCAGTCTGATTTTAGAATTGGTACTGAGAGATCTTCACTAACATTTTGAATGCAACAGATGAAGATAAACGTGGATGACCAAAGAAAAAAAGCATTAAAAGAACAGAACTGGAAAAAGTTTATCTACTTTTATATTATAAAAAATCAAAATAGTGAAGAGATGTTGTTAAAAGGGAAGAAGAAGAATCACTGGACTTGCAATGTTATTTAACATTTATTATCTCCAAGTTTTATTTAGGATATTACACACACTAGTGTGTAAATCTGTTATATAGAAATATTTGTTTTAAATCTTTGCTAGTCTTTTACTGATAATTCCTCAAAAGGAAAGCAAGCATTTGCACAGTTTCCTTATTTAAAGGATGTCTGTTACTTAAAAGTCTGTGTATGCAGATCATTCAGTTTACACAATGTGTAGATGCTGTGGGTGAAGGAAAATAAAATCAATTCCCTGCAGATTTTGCAGCAGGAAATATTTTTTGTGGGCAGAGGGTGGAATGCAAAGGAGAAGGATGAAGATACCTGCTCAGAATATGGAATTTGCACCTGGATTTTCCAATAGTTTTGCAGACTGACGGGGGAAAGGAGCAAACTCCACAAAATCGAAGCCCAACAAGTCACCAGTTTAAATGGTGGGTGAGATAAACGTGACTGCCAGAAAAGTTGTGATTCTCATTGACTGTATTTATTAGTACCTCTTACACTGACCAGCCTTGAAAAGTGATCTCTTTAGTCTCATTCCAAATCAATGGATACTGCCACCTGCATGTATTTAACTGTGTTAGTTGAGAGAAATGCCTGGGACAGGCTTTGGCTTGGCCTGCTGGATGTCTTTGCATTCCAGTTCTGTAAGGAATTCCAGAATTCCTTTATCAGCTGTACCCTGTGTGTGTCTGTCTCTGCCTGCATGGCACAGTGCAGCCTCATGAAGACAGATTTGAAGGTTTTGGTTCATTTAATTGTCTTACATGCGAATTTTGATGCACACAGGCAGTGTCAGAGCCATCTAGTGGATGTGTGGGATTGTAGGAGTTCACAAATATTTGTGTCGGTGAAATTGTTAAAATAGGCAGTACAGAACGTACACACTCATGATAATCCTAATTATGTGGAGAATTTCTTTGAAATGTAACATTGAGGTAGGAATTAATTTGTACTTGTTTCCTCATTTGCAAAAATGGCAGGGTTATGAGAGGTCCAAGTTGGAGAGCTCCAACTTCTATTTGTTTAATAGAAGTGTGTGATATGTGAGTGACAAGCCAAGGTGCTGCTCCAGAGATTGTATCAAACACAATTATTTTTGTTCAGCTCGGGAGAGAAAGGGTCTTTGGCAGTCAGGTGGTGACTGTTATTTGGAAGATTGACTTGGTGGCTAATTTCTTGCTTTGCTTTAGTTTTATTTTTAATAAAATAATATTACAATAAATTATTATATAAATGTGTATATACTGAACTGTAAGTATTGTATCAACCAGCATTTCCAGCTGGGATGCACCAAGTTTAGGGTTATCTATTAGGTCTTTAGTATTTTAATTAGGTTTTTAATTAAGTTTCATTTGTGTGTACACACAGATGGAGTCTCTTCTTCCATGAGTCTGTATTTTTCTGAATATCTGCTGTTTTACACCTTGTGTGAGCCTGATTTGGTTTATTAAATGAGGTACAGTTCAAAATTCTGTTGGATGTGAATTTTGTGCTTTCTTTGGTGCCAGTGTTTTTGTTTTCTGCAGTGAGTTGTGGGGGTTTGTGTGACGTTCAGGGCTGTGGCAGTGGAACATTCCCAGCATTCTGGAGAGGTGTTTTTATGCCTGATTTACAGCTGAGGTTCTGGGTATGCCTGATTTAAAGCCCAGATTACATCAAGAATATTCATTTGTCTTTGTCTTAGGGTCACAAAGATATGGAAAAATATGCAGGTACATTATGATATTGGTTATTAATAAAGCAGGACATAGAGATTGTGGCTTGGTGCTGATTGTCCAAGAAGTTTGAAATTTTGCAGAGGTAAGACTTAAGAATACATCTCTGTATTCATTCACCACCCCTACTTACAGCTCAGTAGTTAGGGAGGAATGTTTGAAACATTTCACTCCCAATTTCTGACTTGCCTGGACTGTGTTCTAGCTTGTTTTGTCTCTTCATGATCATCTCTCAGCTGAGCCTGTGGAATATGGAATTTTATTAAAAGGTGGATACACAGCTCATTACTTCTAGGCTGCTGAAGTCACTGCAGTCCAGAAGAGTTGTGATTTTCCTTTCTGCAATGTGTGATGAGTACAAGAAATAGTGAATTTTGAGGCAGAGAGGTAAACTTTGAATACCATTTGGTAAAGTTCCCAAGCACAATTCTTGTTCTGTCTTCATTAAGTAACTTCCTTTCCATTTCTTGTCAACTGTGATCAATCAAGGTGATCAATTCCAACTTTAAATGAATAATTGCAATCGACAGAAATGGGTGAAATAAATCAGAAAAAAAAAAGAATCTGGGTGTGCAATTGTTTGCTTCAAAACCAACCCTGTAGAGGTGCTCTCGCTCATTTTAATCCTGATCTGTTTTTTGAAACAAGGTTGTGATGATTTCCACATGAAGTTAAATTTGGATTTAAATTTTCCAGTAAATCAGTTTCAACGTTTATAGAGGTTTTAGTTTTTGAAGAGATGGAAGAGCGTGTTTGAGCCTACACTGTATTTATGAGTGCTAATTTACACTTTGGCTGGAAATACAACTTCCTGCAGTGGAATAAAGGGAGATCCATCTGTCAAAAGTCTGCCTGCACCCTAATATCCCACAGTGCTTTAGAGTAAGAACTTAATATTTCTGGTAATGTTCTAATTCTTTCTTTTCTTGGTGCCTTTTGAATTTTTTTTTTTTTAGTTGCCCTTTGCAACTTCTTACAACTATGGCTTCTGATCTAATTGCAGCCTAAAACTTCAGCTTTCATAGTTTGGCAAGTAACCATGAAGATTCTCATTTTGCAGTCTGCCAGAGTTGTTTTTTTAATGGATAAAGTTGTGACAGTACACATTCCCACAGAAGTGGATGTATCACCAGGGAAAATGGGGATTTGGGAGGTGTGAGGAGTTCAGCAGGTTCCCAGTTGCAAGTTGTGGTGTCTGGGACTGATGGTTCCAACTGGAGCAATGCACTGCTGAAGCACTTCAGTGTGTCCCAGGGTTTGGAATTGCAGACCAACCTAGCCTGGGGTGATAATAAAAATAGTAATAAAAACTCAGTGTCCTGTTTTGAAAGCTTGCACAGTCAGTCCATTTGTAGCTAACCTGAGTATCTCTTTGACATCACACTGTGAATGCTCCTATCTTAATCACTGTTTATTCCCTAAGTGTGGTAATTACAGTTTTTCAGCATTTTCCGTGCTTGAATTCTTTAGTACTACTTCTCAAATGCTGCACTGCTGTGTGGAAGGAGACATGGTCACTAAGCTCATCTGAAACTTGGGAGACCTCTTAAATCATGGAATATATGAAAGGGGAAAAAACGCACACATTATTTCACTTGATTCAAAAGCACCTTGCTGTACAATGTTTTAAATTGTTTTGTCCTATTCTATAACCATAACTAATTGAGCACTAGTGCAGCATTCTGTGTATCTGATTTTGGGGAGATTTCTAAATAGGAATAAGAAATGGCTTTCATCTTGGAAAAATTAGAAAGCTGTGTTCTAGTTGTGCAGAATTTGTTTGGGTGGCATCTGAAATAGTGGCCTCCTGTCTGAAAGAATTTAACTGATACTTGTTCCTAATAAAATCATGGTGTTTTATTTTAGCAAAATGTTCAGCAGAAAGGATGTTGATTATTCAGTCCTTGCATCCTGACTGTGCATCAGGCAGAATCAACTCAGCATTTGTCACTGTCTTCCATTTCTGATTTTTAGCCCCGTATTTTGCTGCTTTATCTCAACACTTTTTAACTTCCAGCATCTTCAGGATTCTGGGGAATAATCAACACTATGTGGAATCTTTCTTGACAGTAGGAACTGTGAGTCAGCAACCCTTTAATTTTTTTAGTTGCAGCCATTGTTCCAGCAGCAAGCTTTGCTGCTATTGTCCACTGTTTGTCCAGCTCACGTTTACTGGACTGTGGGAACGGATTAGGGTTTCATGGCTTTTTTTTTCTTCTTGCATAAACTCTTGATCAAAGACATTCCTTGGATGACAAAACACTGTATACTGTGTCACACAGCCCTGACCAGACTGCACCAACAGTAGTTTAAAAACACATGCCTACATTGTTCTCTAAACTGGCCTGCTTTTTTTTTTGCAATGTATGTGCAGACATTGAATTTTTGAGACCCCACTTACCTCTGTTAAAAACAGACACACATACAGAAGTTATTATTAATAAGCACTTGGCAGTTTCTGAAATACAAGTGTAAAAGCAAATTACTCTGAGACAAGAACAGATAGAACAGAATGTCATTTCTAAGCGGAGCTAGGGGTTACATCTGCAGTGTATTTCCTTCCTGAGGACACCTTGGTTGTGGGGCAGGTAGTCAAATACACTGAAACCTGAAGTCACATGGATTATGGCATCATTTGATGTGTCATAGCCAGAACACCTGATTAGGGTAGAGAATGACTGGACCACGATTTGGGAGTTCATTAACCTGCTTCACCATAAATACATTGTTAGAATGACATTTTGAGAACCTGACTTACTATAGTTTTATGTCTTGGTTTTCTAAGTTCTCTTATGCAGTAGGAGGAGGACAAATTTCAGAAAATTCTAGTAGCATCATTATTCCTCAAACTAATGAGAGAGAATAAATGGTGTTAGAGAAAAGCATGGAGACACTTTTCCAAGGAGCCTTGCCTTGTGATTTGCCTGAAATCCTTCTTCAGCAGAAATGTGGGGGAAAGAGATTCCTGAAGACACATTGAGCAGGTTTACAGAGACATTTAAAAACATGGCAGGGCTGAATTTGTATGGTTGGAAAGGAGAACATGGGTTGAATTTGTGTGTTTGTGGAGGACAGAAACAACGTACCATGAACATGTTTGCGTTGTTTGACTCTGCAGCACTTTTCAGCACTGTCATGCAGAAGGGAAGGCAAATGAAACTTCTTTCACTAACACTGGAAAATCATATCCATAAGGGAAGAGCCCTTCTGATCCTTTGCAGTCCAAGGGTCTCCATGGAAAGAGAAGCCTGAAAAATATGTGGCTGATGGATGTGTTGTCTAACAGGAACAAAATGGTCAGAGTGAGTGACTGAAACGGCTACAGAAATATTGAGTCAAACCCATAAAATAAATGTATTACACTTAGAAGAAATAATATTTACTTAGGAGTAAATAATTTATGATGTCTTTTGGAAATTTAACAGCATACATTGGCTGAAGCTTTGCTCTTCATATTTAAAATAACCTACTATAAAGAACTTTGGTCTGTGAGTGTTCAGGGAGGAAAGAAAGCTGTTCAAAAATAATACTCTGTATTTGAACAATCTGGAGTGATACAATCTAATAAAGGGGAGAAATGAAACATCAAAAAGCTCAATTGCCCGTTGCAGACAGTTTGCCATCAGAGCAGTGGCTCAGGACACCAGGTCACTGCCTCAGGCTGGCTCAGGGCTGTTGTCGTAATGCCCTGCTGGTGCTTCCGTGGGCCTTGGGTGAGGATTTGCCCCTCTCAGCCCAGCTCCCCGCTAATGGTACAAATCCCAGACAACAAACAGCAACCTGGTGGCTGGCACAGAGACCAGGCAGCTCTGGAATATGGCTTGTGAGGGAATTAAGCTGAGTGTCACAGGGCTGCTGCCAGGTGGGGTGGATGAAACAAAACCACTCAGCAACACAATATCTAAAATGTATTTACTCAGCAGGGAAGGGTGAGTGGGTAGCAATTTCCGTTCTGTGATACACATGCCACGAACAAGACTCTGAGCTCTAGATCTCTGTTCCCCACATGCATCCAGAGGAGGATTCCTCTGGCCAGTCCACGTGTCAGGTCCTGGCTTGGAGCTTGGCTCCTGCATGTCACAGTTCCTCCTTTGGTTCAGTGTTCCTGGTGCTGGCAGAGATCTGTACCTGGGGCTCTCTCCAGCCCTGAGGGATTGCCCTCTTAGCCAGTTCTTGTTTCATGTGTCTGTCAGCATAAGCACTCCCAGGCCATTCTCTTTTTCCACACTTGCTGAGGAGGAGGCTCCTCTCGCCCTCTTCTCCTTCTGTAGTCGAGGTCCTGCCCCAGGCAGGGCCCCCACAGAGTAAAGATGCTGTCCATGTGCCTTATTCCCAATTTGCCATGGACACGGCATCTTTCTGCCAATAATTCCTCCTTCATGTGAGAGCCCTCAGGAAAATGATGCCTGTGAATACTTGGTGAATTCCCTGAAATATGAGACGTTTTAATACCTGGTCTTCACACAGGCAGAAAGGAGGACAGGTCTAGGTAGTGCTCTGCAGGTGCTATAGGATCAGCAAGGAACTATTTCTGTTTTCACTCTTAAATGTTTATCACATTAAAGAAGCACTTTTGCCTTCCTCCTACATTTGGTCCTGCTTGTCCATAAAGAACAAAATCAGAAGTCTAGCAAATGTCACATTTTAGGTGCAGTCCCATTGACTAATTTACAATCCTTTTCTCATCACTTGATTGCAATATGGTGTGGAACTCAGAAGCCACATGGGAATCTATGCTGGCCATGCCAATGCAATTA